CGGAGGGAGTAGATGTTTTCAGGTAAACGGTTTATAAGCTCAATTAAGGGTTTGTTTTTATTTTTTTTGTTTCGATATTTTTCTTGAACCAACATGGTTAGGGTTTCTTGTTATAAATATATGGATGCTATCCTCCTATATACAATGGTAAGAGGACCTTATGAATAGTGTTCCCGCCATTTTCTCCTCCATCCTTTGGGCCAGGCTGAGCTGCTAATATTGGGCCGAAATTTAGTCATCCTTTCTTGGGCATGCGGCTGACAATTTTACGGGGCTGCGGACCAACTTTATTGGGTTGCGGTTGGCGGCTGTGCGTGGCTCCATAAAGTGAAACAATAATGCTTTCCATCTAATCAATTTAATGGTTAGATTTGCACAATCCAAGCATTTAATGTGCTTAAACGAACACTTTATGGGTAAGTGTAAACTTACTACTTTATGGGTATGTGTGTTGCATGGAGCCACACACCATAAAGTAAGTTACCCTTTATCTCAAATCAGCATTTATTAAGGTGATTCTACAAATCTTTTTTGCTATGGTAAAAGTGACGATCTTACAAATCTCTTTTTTTTGCACCAAATGTATCATTTAAATACAAAAAGTGAAGATCTTGCAAATCTTTTATCATTATTACTATGAATAATTAACTTGATTCACCAATTTTTTTAAAATATCTGCTTACACCAGAACACAGTATAAATACGAAGTACATCTTGGGTACTTTCCAGTCTTGCCTCCGCCCTTCAGGTACTTCTCTCTACCTTGAAACCATATTAACATCTTTAATAATCTTTGCAAATACTTAAATTGTAGTAGTAAAATCAGCCCGAAAAATACATTCAACAATATTTCATGCAATAAAAGTTTGTAGCATTGCAGTGAAGAACAAAATCATCCACGAAGGTAGTTTGACAAAATCATGCCCCGGAGTATAAGTTTATCATTCAAAAGGTTTGAAAGAGGATTTTTTTCTTAAATCTTAGAAACAGTTTGAGCAAAAACATTCAAATAAGAAGAGGAAAGCATAAGAGGGTATTTTGAAAGATCAAAGCATACATAATGAAGCCTGCNAACTAATGCATACATTTGCAATGCACACATATGCAGATGGGCCATTATGTACGGGCATATAAGAGGTCTATAATGAACTTTTTGATGTGTTAAACTTAAAAGCATTGAAAGAAAGCCACTCTTGAACCCAAATTAAAAAACATTTACAATTACATTAAAGTTGGGCACACTAATTGAGCCAAACCCTGAGGCAAAAAGATTTGTTCCAGAAAATATTAATAGCTATATGTTTCCTAACATATTCAAAAGGGCATTGGATATGACTTCATCACAAGGATTCAAAATAAAAAATAAGATTAGGAGTCATTGCCTTTAAGTCAGGCAAAAAGGATAAAAGTCTGAGTTAAGCCAGGCAAACAGTTCATGAATTGAAATAAGGAGTCATTACCTTTACTGTGAATATTTTTAATATTTGATCTGCTAATTTAATTTCCATTCTCAAACAAATCTATACCAATTTTATAATTTAAACTTTTTTAGGGAAAATGTGCTATGCATGTGAAAAATACCCCAGTAGATTGAAAAAAGAATATCAAGATGGAATAAAAAGAACTAAAACACAAGCAAAGTGCAATCCTTTAGAAAAAAATGCATTTATTAACGTTTATAGATGAAATATTGGATGAAATGTCTCCTTCCAGTCATTATAACAAAATGTAAGGACCTCTGCTGTCTTCTTCAAAATAGAGGAACCTGAGAGTTATTTCAACAAAACTCGCGTCACCCACGAGTAATTCTCTGAGAAAAGAGACACCACACTTAAGAGATAAGAGCGGCGCAAACGATAGAGAATGGGATTGGGGAATGGCGATAATTGGGAGCGGGGTAGATGGGCTCATCCGGTTAGGTTAGCACCGTTTATCTAATCCTTTCTATTCCACCCATTATGAAGCTCTTACTAATTTAAGTTGTTTATTTGATTACAATATTTTATTAAACTTATTTTTATTTATAAATTGATGTAAAATTAAAACAATAATAATTATATATGTAAATTAAAAATTATATTAGTTTTATAAATGAAGATATGAAATTATTTTATCAATCCTACTATATACAATGCTAGGTGAAATTTATGAACAGTGTCCCCGCCTATTTTTATTGGGCCAAGTGAGCTGCCTTTAATGGGCCGAGTGGGTTGCTATACATGGGCCAAACCTATAGCAATTAAATTGTCTAAATTAACGTGTAAATGTAGGCGTATAGGTCAGCTTAGGAATGATGGAAAGCACCTCGATCCAATAAATTTACTTTTTTAAAGCACCTCGGTTCAATAAATCTACTTTATTAAAACACCTCGATCCAATAAATATACTTTTTTAAAGCACCCCGGTTCAATAAATCTACTTTATTAAAGCACCTCGATCCAATAAATCTACTTTTTTAAAGCACCTCGGTTCAATAAATCTACTTTATTAAAGCACTTCGATCCAATAAATCTACTTTATTAATTTTATGTCTAATCCATATCTTAATCTAATTATTCAAAAAATCTATAAGTACATGGACATTAAATGTGATAGTTTAAGTTGCCTCCAAGCCCAAGTATATATATATATATATATATATATATATATATATATATATATATATATATATATATATATATATATATATATATATATATATCCGAATTTGTTTAGAGCATACACACCATTCAAAACACATACCACAGCCATGAGTGATCTAAATGTCCCAAAACCCACAAACCATGATGTGGAATTTCATTGACAAAATTGATAACACTCTCACGGCATGGATGCTCAAGTTACAAGTCATCTTCCATGACGAACATGTAAATTTTTTTCTATTTCTCTTTTAATATATTCCCGTATTTACAATGACGAACACTGATTTTTTTTCATTTTTTGTAGGAGACGAGGATACATGCGCATCTTAAAAAACCTGAAAAGAAGAAATTTGAAAACCTGATCGTTGAAGATGGCGTTCTTGGAAAAAAAATTAATGGATTGTTCATGAACGGATTGTTCATGAACAGATTTTGAAAAAAATGAATATGATGTTATTAAATTTTGAAATATATACCTTTCGATGTTTGAAAATATTCTTAAAAGTATTTAAAAAAAATATTGTATGCTTCCATAAAATAATGACCCATCCTCAGAAAAAAGAAAGTAAAGATTTAATGGGTTTAGAAAATCTTTGCATTTAATACAACTACTTAAAGCAATTATTTTTGTAGCACACTTTTTACTGAATAAGAATTTAAATAATCTGATGTTATATATTTTGTACTATATGCACATCAAAATTTTTATTTCTTCATGTCTATATTTAAGGAAAAATTATGCAGTCATAAACTATAAACACGTCCTTCGAAAATGGAAATTAGAGATGTGATGGGTTTGAGAAGATCTTTGCATTTAATACATCTACTTTTTATTGAACCAAGAAATCTAAAACAATCTTATTTCTAAGATATGGACACAGTTTAAACTACACAAGATCAAAGCATTTTTAATGCCATACTGTACAATTAAACCTTAACATGTTCAAAGTGATTACTTGAACATGTACAAAGAGGTTTAATAACTTTATCTTTTTTAATGTACACTCCCATTTATGAGGTTAAAATAAACAAGGTATAAATATTTTTTTCAAAAGCAAATTATAGGAAAAAAGTGTATAGAATCACTAAAATATTTTTAGTGAAAAAGTGGGCTTGAATATTTCTGATTTCATCTCTGCAAATCAGAATAATAAGTTCATAATTGTATGGTATAAGAAAAATTATTAGTATTAAATGAAAATAAATATTTTTCCTTGAAGTATTTCATAAACTGTATATTTTTAACATTTAATATACATTATATATTAAAATAACCCTTCTACTTCATAATTATACATTAAAATTGGACATGGAAATTTTTAGCTAACCATATCGAATATCTTAGGTCATGAAATTGTAGTATATAAAGATAGAAAAAATTGAAAAAGTATAAAAATTACGAATAATGCCTAATGTAAAATTATTTTTTACTAAAACTATTTTCGGAAATCTAATTAGTCTAAAAGTATAACAGATTTTCTTTTATAAACTATATCCGTATTATAATTCGAAGTCTTAATGAACATGCATGGTTGTTTAAATATAGATCACGAAAAATTTCATGATTCATTACAATTAAAAAGTATTTTAAAAATTTTGAACAATTATAGAAATCAACAGATCTAAGATAAATCCGAATACTTGATTAGAGCACTGGTAATACCCCTCACGCCCACCGGCGTTACGGGGCGTTTAACGCCCCGGGGGCGTGAAACACCGCCCCCCGCCGGCGTGAAACGGGCGTGAGGGCGGCTGCGTCATTCCTTTGACGCGGCGTGAATCGGCGCTGCTCCCTCCTAACGGCTAAAAAAGCCATTGCACCCCAATTTAAAAAAAAAAAAAATTTTTCCTATAAATTCAACCCTCCCCAACCAATCTCTCACCCTTCTCTCCAATCTCTTCTTCTTTCTTATTTTTAAATTTCAAAATTCAAATCCCTCCTCCCAATTTTCAACATGAATCCTTCCGGCTCCGGCTTCGTTCCCGACAATCTCCCCCCGAGTGACGCCGCGATGTGGTTCTACCAAGAGTGGGGCGATTGACCACCGATATACGATACGCAACAATCGGGGTACGTCGACCGAGATTCGGTTCCGGAGACTCAACCGGAACCGTCCGGATCGAAAAAAAGTACACGCCGGAGGAGCCACAAAGCCAAAAGCACGTTGACCGATGCGGCACGGTCAATCCAAAAGTGGACGCCGGAGGAGGAGTGCATATTGGCGTCGGCTTGGGTTGACGTCTCCGAGCATCCTATCATTGGTAAAAAAAATTGTTTTTTCTAATATATTTATATTTATATTTATATATATTTTATTTAATGGTGTCAAAAAAAAATTGTGTAATACTTTTTTAAAGGTACGGAGCAAACGAAGGATGCGATGTGGGATCGTATCGAGGAGAAGTTCTTCACGGCGATGAAGAAGGACGGCTCCTACCGAACCCGTGACCAACTCACTTCCAAATGGAGCCACATCAACAAAAAAGTACGAAAGTTTATGGGAGTATACGAGGAATGCTCCGGCATGAACGACGCCGATGTTCTCCGGCTTGCCACGACCCGGTATCAAGACGACGGGAACCAAGGCAAGGTGCCCATCGATCTTTGGGGGATTTTGAGTCATTCCCCGAAGTGGCAACAACTCAACAATCCCGACGGCGTATCATTCCGGAAAAGATTAGCCGTCGACGCCGAGGTTGAGGTCGACGAGACCATCGGTTCTACCGATCAAATCCCTTCCTTCAACGTTGCGGCTTCCGATGACGAGGACCCCATTCCACGGCCGATCGGAAGAAAGAAGGCAAAATCCATTGCCTCTGGTTCGGGAGGGTCCGCCTCTATTTCCGCTTCTCCTCGCGACGAAATCGGCCGGGCAATGGTTGAACAACTTCGGGCGTTCAATCTCCAAGAACAAGAGAGGTTGAAGCTTAAAGAGAAGGAGTTGAAGCTAAAGGAGCAGGAGGCCGAGATGAAAGTCATGCAAACCGACCCCGGGACGTTGTCGGAGTTTGGACGAATTATCTACGAGCAAAGAATGAGAGAGATCAAGGAGAAATATAATTTACCTTAGTTTTTTTTTATTAATGTATCTTTTTTTTAAATTATTGTCGCTTTTTTTATTTAATTAATGTGTTTTTTTATTATTCGTGTTTCAATTTAATTAGATAATAAATTAATTACATTTTATTAATTTAATTTTAGAAGATGTATATTTAAAAATGTAAAAAATGAAGGTTTGAAGCCCAGTTTTGAAGCCCCGGGGCTTCAAACCCATTTCCAGTGAATTTTGGGTGTAAGTTAAAGCTGACGTGGCAGAGAGAGAAAGTTTGAAGCCCCGGTTTGAAGCCCCGGGGCTTCAAACGTATTACCAGTGCTCTTAAATGGGAGTATGAACTCTGAAAAAAGAAATTTCTATGATAAATTATATAATAATACCGGCGATTGCAGCGATGATATCCCACCGATAAATTATATATATATATATATATATATATATATATATATATATATATATATATATATATATATATATATATATATATATATATATATATATTCAATTCGTATTAAAGTACTTTTGCAATAAAGACCTTCCATCAACAAACCAAACTACGAAGTGTTCCAAAAACTATAACATTGCATTTCGACTACAATCATTGATGTACAAAACCTTTTTTTGGGAAATTTTAATAAAATTTGTAATCTTTTTATTTTTTTTCATTTTATTTTATTCCAAACCAAGACTAAATATAATTAATTTTACCGTCCGTGCATCGCACGGGTACGAGTCTAGTTATCCAGAAATGATAACAAGAAAGAAGTATAGTCTCACCATATCTCAACCCAAATTCTCTTCCCTCTTCTTCTTCTATTCGTTTCTCTCTGAGTATTATATATATATTGCGTCCTCTCCCACATCGCCTTAATTAACAGCAACAAATTCTCTTCTTAACAAATGGCCATCACAAAGAACATCGCCTGGCTATTAGGGTTTATTTGAGGCTAAAAGTAGATGAAAGGAGATTGGAATGTTTAGTAAATATCTGTGAAACATGTCATTTTATATTTATCTTTCCAAACATTCCATTGACGAGAGTAATTTTTTAATATTTTAATCTCCATTTTTAAAAAGGCTCCTAATTATTATACGCATGTGACTAGTTCTACTTCTGTTATACGTTTCCATTGAAAATTTGAGAAAATAAGATAAGTTCACCAAGAGCGAAGGCTCCTAATTATTATTCATAGATCAAACTAATTCTAATTTTTTAATACATTTTCAATGATTATTTGATGAAATAAAATAAGGTTACCAAGAGCGAATTGAAGGGCTCCAAAACCATGTAAAAATAATAAAGAATATTTTATTGCTTGAATAATAAGGAGATAATACAAGACATCTATTTATAGGTGGATGAATATATTCTAAAATCCTCCACATTAATGACTAATTATATACGGTTAGGTTCCCAGTGGCGGATCCAGGATTTTAAATAGTAGGGATCACCTTTCGAGTGTTCTGCGACAACTTCCCAAATTTTTTTAATACATGCAATGCGAGACTTTAAAAAAATTAATTTACCCTTAAATAGTTATTCAAAAAGTAAAAAAAATAAAAAATAAATATTTTTAATGCCAATATTATAAATTAGTTTAATTATCACTCCGTATATTTTTAGTGTAATACTACTACTTTAGAATTTATCTTTGCATTTTAAAATATTTCACTTTAAAATTATATTTTTTTAATATCTAAATATTTGATTTCTCTTTGTTTTTTCTTACTTAATACTATTAATTGAGGCCTCTAATACTTATAATTAGGGTTTCTAATATTTTTAGTTGGGGTCACATATTACCTAACTCTAAAAAAAATTAAAAAATTAAAGTATCACAATACACATGATAAACAAAAACTTAAAACTAGTAGGGGGCCATTGCCCCCAATTATTAAGCTATGGATCCGCCCCTGTAGGTTCCGTGGCCACTAGGTTCCAGTGGCTACGGAAGCCACTGTCCCTCTACGGATATCAATCTCGAAGTATCGGTCTAGTATGGCTCACGATTGTTCGGTTTTAATTTCGGTAAATATATTGGGGTGAATGTATATACAGTAGTTTACACTTTGAAATGTAGAAAACTTTTTATTTAAAAAAATTGAAAGTACATTCAAATAAAGAACTATAAAGATTTAAAAGTGATTAATAAAATAAGAGAAATGCTTATAAAACCTAATTTAATTTATACGTAATACGGAGTATTTCACAAAAAGAGAACAGTTGATAACAAAATACTCCCTCCATCCTTGAAAACCTTTCTCCTTTCTTTTTTCATCCGTTCCAAAAAATACTTCTCATTTCTATTAAAAAGTCACTTTTACCCCTTACTTTTTCATACCCTACCTATCACATCATACCTTTTTACTAATAATCTATCCATCAAATCATACTTTTATCCATCACATCAAATAAAGGACATTTTTGGAAACTCAATATCAAAATACACTCTCTTTAAATCTCTCTTCAAAATCAAAACTTCTATATTTTCCGGAACGGAGGGAGTAGTATTTTAAATGTTTGTATATTCTTTTATATTCATCTATTAAAAAAAACTAAAATTTACTAAAATTGATAACAAGACGCTACTAGTACCTCTCTATTTACTAACTCTCAAAATAGATATGGAGTATACTATACTCTCTCCGTTTTCCGAAAATCTTTCTTCTTACTTTTTTCATTCATTTCAAAAAATACTTCTTATTTCTATTAAAAAATTAATTTTACCCCTTATTTTTTCATACCTTACCTATCACATCATACCTTTTTACTAATAATCTACCCATCAAATCTTACTTTTACTCCTTACATCAAAGGATTTTTTTTGGAAGTTCAATACCAAAATATATTTCCCTTAAATCTCTTAAAAATTAATAACTCCCATATTTTTAGGACCGGAGGAAGTATATAAAATAAAGTAATTTGCTTGTGTGAAATAAATGTCAACAAACTACAAGTATTATCTCCGTGACTTTTTAATATTAAAATTAAAAAAATTTAGTCATAGATTAAATAAACTAAATTGATATAATATATTTATACGAAAGTTATTTAATTAGATTTATTTTGTGAAGTATTTTCAAAATATTATTGTATATAATTAATATACACTATAAATTTTATTTAATTATAAGTTAAATAATTATAAGTAAAATAATGTTTATCTTGAATTCTTGACTGAATGCAAAGATTCTAATTTGGACAAATACTTCTTGCGAACAGACTATTAAAGATTGCCTTTTAAGTTGTATACTCCGTATTTAAATTAAAGCTGACAAATTAGTCGGTCATGTCGAGTTCGGGTTCAATCACTTCAAGTTTGAGTTATTTCGGGTTCGGGTCAATTCGAGTTCGGGTTGAGAAATGTATGTTCATGACCCAGTACTATCATGTTCGAGTCGACCCAACGGGTTATGATTTTTGTTTTTTAAATTTTTAAATTAACATTAACACTTACATTTTTTATTAAATAAATTTAAAATATCAAAAAAATGTATTTAATCTATAAAATTATTTTATTCTAAACTTTGAAATAATTTTTAGATATATAAATCAATATAAGGAATTTAAAAATGCTTAAGTTTTGGAAAAAAGTAAGATAATTATGCAATATCATGAAAATTTTGTCTGAAAATATAAATTTATACACTAAAAACGAGTAGTAAAGTGTATGATTTTGAAAAATTCTTACTTTAGTGGGTTGGTCGGATCGGGTTCGGTCGGATTTGACCCATTTTTAACGGGTCATTTCAGGCTCGGTCAACTTCGGGTTTGGTCATCAAAACCTTTGTTCAAAACCCTGTATTTTCAGGTAGGGTTTCAGGTCAAAAACATGTCGGTCATTTTTTGCCGTATATTCATCCTTTTAATCCAAGGATTAAGTTTCCGTTTCAATTTATAATAAGTGATTAAAAGTATTTTAAATCTAATTTTATTTATAACTTATCTTAAGAACAAATACTTTTTTCCAAACAAAATCCATCACAAATATCCTCATTATTACAAATTTGAGTTTTTCAAATCTTGAAGAACCATTTCAAAGCCATTAAATTGGACGACGTGAATCATTTTCAGAAGTTCATAGATAACGAATTAATATGCATTATGTTTCTTAGGAAATTGGCAATACCTCCGCTAGCTGGATGAAGAAAAAACAAGACTCAATTTACTCCTAAAGTGCCCTTTGTGCCCCAGACCCAAACTATATAAACTGCAAACGCCCCACAACTTAGTGACACAAGAGAAAGAAGAAGAAGAAATCAATTAGAAGAAGAAGAAGAAGAAGAAGAAGAAAAATGGCATCTCTAATCACAAAG